AGCGTAGTGGTTATAAATCGGGCTGCAAACCTTAAGGTCAGTGGTTCGAAACTACCAGCCGCTCCGCGGGAGAAAGATGAGGCTTTCTACTCCCGTAAAGATTTACACCCTCGGAAACCCTGTACAGGGTCGCTATGGGTCGGAACCGACTCGATGGCACTTAACAACAACATGTAGCCAGAGAAAATATACATACAATTTTATTTCAATTAGGAAAACTACCAGCAGCAAGATGAAAGTCTAAGCACTGCAGTAAGAAATATTTGCATATAGTTTACAGGTATGATAAAAATCAAAGCGTTTTGTATTCTAAGCCACCGGAAACCGGAAATAAAATTTTAACCACTTTCCCCATCAACACCAGTTTTGAGTTAACACTACCTAAATCTGAATCCCACAGATTTCAGTTGTTGTTGTTGTTGTTGTTATTGTTGTGTGTCGTCAAGTCGGTTCCGACTTATAACACTGTATAGGGTTTCTGAGGAGGAGCTGGTGAGTTTGAACCACCAACCTTGCACTTCAAAACAACCTTGAGGTCAAGTACTTATCCTATGGCACCACAAAGGTTTCAGTGGTGGGGGGAAATTATCTAATTATACAAGTATATATAGGTCAAACCCCAAAGCACAGATGTTTAGAAAGATATCTCTCTACTGTTAATACTAAAATATGATTCTTTTTTAACATAATATTTGGGTAACCAGTATGAGGAGCTGAGTCTTGACAACAAAACATAGATATTTACTGAGAATTTACTGAGAATAAAAGCATGCTAGTAAAGACTCCTTAAAAAAATTGTTACACAAGCAAACTTCTCTCCAAACTCCATTTTTAAATAATACCAAACAGTGCATAATCTGGGATTTAAGGAAAGAGGAAATACATTCTTAATTTAAGGACCCACATAAAGCAACTAGCCTCTCTAGAGAAACAAGATAATTTAGATTCTTCAATGACATCGCTTTGAAACTCTTCAGAATCTAGTTCATGTATGCTTGACGATCACTAGCATTTTTTATGCAAATTCTAATAATGCTATTCATCGAAAGTTATATATCATGGAATCATTGCCAATAAAACAATCTTCCTTTTAAGGACATAACTAACTAAAAAATATGCTAAATATATACAGGAGAAGTGAAGTAAATTTAGTGAATGTTTTGTATTCTACGCCATTAGAAATTGCAAATAAAATTTTTATCACCTTTTCCCATCAATGTTGTTTTTCAGGGTTGAGTCAGTTCCAACTCATAGTGATCCTGTATAGGGTTTTCAAGGAGCAGCTTATGAGTTTGAACCACCAACCTTGCATTTCAAACAAATATTGCGGTCCATTGCTTATCCTACAGCACCACACCAGGACATTTCTCAATCTGAAAGAACTGATAGGCATGTAGACTCAGCACTGGAATGTGAACCATAAAGTCAGCAGTTCAAACCCACCAGCTGCTCCTCGGAGACCCTATACAGGGTTGCTATGAGTTAGAACTGACTCCACAGCACTTAACAATGTATTGTGGTGTAGCACTATAGAAAAGCAGTTGGCTGCTAACCATAAGGTCAGTGGTACAAATCCACCAGCTGGTCCTTGAAAACCATATACAGCATCGCTGCTGAGTCAGAACCAACTCAACAGCACTTCACAACAACAAGATGAACAAAATGGAGTCCTTGTGCAATTCAACAGGATAAGCACTGGACTGTTAACCACAAAGTCGGAAGTTCAAACTCACCAACTGCTTCTTGGAAACCCTACACACAGTATGACAGCACTTAAAAACAACTATGTAAATGTGATGCTGTAGGATCAGCACTGGACTGGGAACCAAAGGGGCCAGTAGTTCAAACTCACCAGCTACTCCCTGGAACCAACTTAATGGCACTTAACAACAACAAATGTAAATGTACTGAGCTAAGCACTTTACATAACATACCTTATACAATTTTTCCTATAAATAGAGTTTTACCTTCTAAACCTAGCCTGCTAAAAGCATTGTTTAATTATACCAACAGAGTAACTTCTGTAGAGTACAGTACACATCATCTTCTTACTTTCATCATCTTAGGTTATATATCATTTTCAATATCTTTTTGGAGCTTCTTCCTGAATGAAGTAACTGAGTTTTATGGCTGCATTTTTATTATATTACCTGTTTTCTGTTAAAGACAAAATATTTTCTACAATAAAACTAAACAGATCAATTGGGAACTGCAGCCTAAGTAATTAGATTTTAAATCTTTAAAATGATACAAGCCATCATTTCATCAGTATTTTGGGAAATATTGTACTCTTTCACATAATGCACTATGTTGTTGTTGTTATGTGCTGTGGAGTCAGTTCCTACTCATAGCGACCCTGTACAAGGTTTCTGAGGCTGTAAATCTTTATGGGAGCAGAAAGCCTCATCTTTCTCCTGTGGAATGGCTGGTAGTTTCGAACTGCTGACCTTGCGGTTCGCAGCCAGATTCATAACCACTACGATACCATAGCTCCTTATAATGTACTATATACATAATTTAAAACAAACTTATCATGAAATGCTTTAAAAAAAAAAAAAAAAAAAACTTTCTGCTCCTCAATTTGCAACACAAAAACCAAGAACCTTACTCCAAAGCAAGAAATATGAAGCAATTTCTAAGTAGGATTTATTGCACTTCAGAGCCATAATAGTTAATCAACTAAAACAGTAATAACGGATTCTGTCAAGTCAGCAGCAGCTGATGTCAACACACATACCACAGTAATATGTCACCTCAATAAAAGTGTAAAGTGCTTGCCAGTATTATCGTTGTTGGGTGTCCTCAAGTCAATTTCATCTCATAGAGACCCCATGTGACAGAGTAGAACTGGCCCCTTAGGGCTTTCTAGGCTATAATCTTTAGGGGAGTAGATTATTAAATCTTTCTCCCAAAGAGGTACTGGGTGGGTTCCAACTGCCTACCTTTTGGTTAGAAGAGTCACACTTAAGCACTGCACCACCAGGGCTCTGTTTTAGCTGTATTGTTGTTATTGTTAAGTGCCATCTCTGTACACGGTTTCCCAGAAGTTAGTGGGTTTGAACCACCAACCTTGTGGCTCGCAGTCCAGTGCTCATCCTACAGCACCACACCAGAGTCCTTTTGGCTTTATTGTTGTTGTTGTTGTTGTTAAATGTCGTTGAGTCAGTTCTGACCCATAACGACCGTGCATAGGGTTTCCAAGGAATGGCTGGTGAGTTTGAACTGCCGACCTTGCAGTTCAAACCGACTTTACAGTACAGCACATTAACCCACAGCACCACACCAGTACTCCTTTGGCTGTATTACGCAGTCAATAAATGAATGGACTAAATTGTTTACTGAGTATGTGTAATGTTTCATTCAAAATAAAAAGCCTTTATTTCAATAGTTTATAAAATACTTTTAAAAGCAGAATGCATGATCATATTACATGTATAAATAACTTAGGCTCAAGCTCAGAATAGCCTTAATAACTATGATTAACATCTCTAATGACCCAAGAGATCAAAGTGAAGTGTACAAAATTTCTATCCAGAATTGAATATGAACCTGATGAATACTTGAAATTTGCTGTACTATTTTTAACTGAACTTTCTAGCCTTAGGTCAAAGTTTTGCCAGCAAAATACCAAAGTGAAAATGCTGGGATTGAAGCCCAGACTATCTGCTTTGGCCTAGGGGAAGCTATGCCCTCCATGCAATCAATCCTACTTCCAACTGAAAACTTCTTTTAAAATGCTATGGTGTCATGCTCCCCTGAGAATACAGGACCACACTAATGTGAAAACCAGCCAAAGAAAACGTCAAATACTTTTGATACAATATTGTGCATGGCATTCTACGCATCATACAGAAAATACACCCTCGTTAGTAGTTCTTGCACTTTGGCCAAACAGGACTGACTCACTCTATAAATCATTCCAAAAACCTCAAAAGAGAATCAACTACTTATGAAGACAGTCACTGGACAGGGAGGAGACACCGTTTTCCTCATCATATAGTCTACCAGGCTGGGAGGCGAACTGATACCTAAATTCTGGAGCAAAATATCTGAAGAATCCAAGGATCACGCACCTTGATGTTTAAAGAGTTAAATATCCAGAATATCCTTTTTCATTCGGTAGTGGGAACATGGGGAAGCGCCACATCTTTTTCTCATAAATGCATGGCCACTGCACCCTAATCAAATCGCTTGTGAAAAACAATCATTTAACAAATCTAAGAAATAAGCAAGCATTTTTAATGTGCATTTCTCATTTGTAAAGCATCTGAAGAGTTGGCTCTCTTAATCAAAAGCCCAACTAGCAGCCTTGAAGTGCTTAGTAATTTGGATTCCAAAGGTCCACTTAAGAAAAGGATACAATAGAGAAAATACATTCACTCTGCAATTCACATCGATTCTTAACCTTAACGCTGGTGCAACTAACTGTCTAAGGAAGTTCAACAGAAATCCATTCAAATTCTAACTACGACTGTTTAAAGACAACTGAAAACAGGAAGGCAGCTCTGTGCCTTAACATTTCAGGCTAACTGGATTGTGTGCAGGCAGCTTTCCTGTCAAGTCCCCTAGATGGGTACTCTCAACAGAGATGGCCTAAAGGGTCCCTCCCTTGCTTGGAACCGAGTCCCCAAGGAGCATGTCACTTTCACATTCTCTAGGCTTCTGTACAAAGTAAATCCTCAACCCTGCCTCCCAAATCCAGTGAATCTGCAGGAAAAAAAGAGGCGTGTTTCCTTCCAGGTGCTTCAAGTCAGAGGCAGCTGGAGATGACACCAGCTCAACTCGAGGGCGGTCTAAGGGGAGAACACCCAGAGGATCTCTCCTGTTGGAACTTAAGTAGCAAAAGTGCTTGGTATCCAGCCCCGGCTGCCGGAAGCGGAGCGGGGTGGGGCAAGCTCTCCACCACGCAGATGGGTGAGCTCAGAGGGGTGGGCAAGTGGGGGGGTGGATTTAAGGTGAGAACACGAATCGAGGAGGGATCCCAGGCCCCGGTCACCTACCAGCAAGCTCTCCACGTTGATGGGGGAACGAGGGTCTCGGATCAGCGATTCCAGCTTCCTCTGGCGGCTCGCGCCAGCCCCGTCCCCCGGCACGGCCTCGGGGGCGCCGGGCATTTTTCCCGTCGGCAGGGGCCGGCTCATGCCGCCACCACCCGGCCCACACTCTTGCTCTCTCGCGCAGGGGTCCAGCCGCCTCGGGGCCTAGCACCCCCCGAATCACCCACTCCGGATGGGGACTCGCCAGGGCCCACTGTCCGCCTCTAGCTTTGGCTTCGAGGCTCACCGCAGGTCTGGAGCCTGGGGACTGCTCCAAGGAGCCGACCCGGCCCGGTGCGGCCGGGAATGGTGTGGAGAAGGCGTCCCCGCCCCTCAGTCAGATTCGCGCCGCCCGGTCCGCTCGTTCCCGACGAGCTCCCCCAGGATTCCGAGGGCGGGAGTAGGGAAGCGGCGCCGCCACCGCTGCGGCCCGAATAGTCCCGCCCTCTGGGGCTCTGGGGGCTGAAACCCAGATTTGCGCAACTAAGACCGCCGCCAACCGGGTCTCATGATCGCCGCCCGCCGCCTCTAGTTCCACAAGCCCAGCTCGGTTCACACACTCCCGCGCTGCTGCCAGACTCCGGACGCGCGCAGCCGCTACCCACAAGCCCCTCCGCCCGCGGCCGCCGGCGCGCGCTCCGCCCTCCCTGCACGCTGCCGCCTGCTCCGCCCCCGCCCGCCCCTTCGGGGCCTCGGCCTGGGTTCGCTGTGTGCTTCCTTTCTCCTCTCGCCCCTCTTCCTCCTTTTTTTTCCTCTTTTCCTGGTTTCCGCTAGGCTTCGGTTTTCTCCTTTTTCGTCTCCTTCCTCCCGGTTTCCTTCCCTCCTCTTTTAACCTCTAGAAAGGCTAAATAGCTGGGGGCGCTATCACCGCCTCACGATCCGCTGAGCTCAACAAGGGGAGGGGAAAGTGCTCCTGGGTCGTGGATCTGATCGGGGCTCCTCTCCTGTCCTGCCTGATGGTGTAGCGGTCGACGACCCTGTGGGTTCTGAGGGGACTTCTCCCCTAACCCTCTGACCGCTAAGTCCTGATGCCTCCGGCTGGGGGAGGGACAGGGTTCCGCGGCCACCGCGCCCGAGCGGGAGGAGGGGCCCGCTTGCCCCCCACCCCGGGCCCCCACTGACTCAGCGCGCAGCTATGCGGACTTGCATCATCCGAGCCAAAATAATAGCGACCACGAATCTTTGCCCTCGCCTGCAAAGCGCTTGGCTTGCAAGGAGCCTGTCTAGGCACCCCCCAAAATTGTGGAAAGGCTAGCAGGGGTGTGCGCCGAATGCATTGGGTGTTGGGAATTATCATCGCGGTGAGAATCCTATCCTGGGGCTGGAGGGGCCTGTAAGACCTGTTTCCACCCCCAGGGTAGAAGTCCTGGGATCCCAAAAGGCTTTCTGCTTGTCTTTGACAATGTCTCCTTAGCGTGAAGAGAACTGGGAAGTGATAGAAAAATGTTTTCCATTCCTAGCCCCTTATGGGGTCCTTGCCAGTTTTTATTTGGGGAGGGGAGGGGGCTTGAGGGATTGATCCTCCACATTCCTGTTCCATTGCAGCCTGTACCATTTGCTAATTCCTCCCAGGGTGCAATCTGAAAAATATGTACAAGACCTATAAAACTGTTCGGAGATCCCCTTTGACCCAGTAAATCCATTTAAGGAAGTACATTTCTAAGGAAATGATCCAAAGGGGGAGGAAAACTTGCATAAAGATGTTTATAGTAAGGCTATTCGGAATGTTCAAAATGATCAAAACCTGGGAATGAACCCAGTTGTCTTAACAATTGGGGAATAACCTAAACAAGCTTTGTCACACTCATAGAAGAAAATCATGGCAGGTATGCAGACTGTCAAGCACATGAAATTCGGCAATTGAATGAAAAGGTGTATTGGAAATAAGGTTACATGAAACAAAAAAATCTAATTAGTTTGTGCACATTAATTACAACTATGTAAAATGAGCATCCAATGGGAGAGGAATACAGTTGTTTTCAATTTAATGAGTTTTTTTTTTTCTGTAAAGATGCTTAAGAATGCATTAACTTTTCAAAAATTAAAAAATTTTATTGGGTGGGTCATTAAAATAAAAACAAAAACACTACAGTTTGATATCCATTAAGTAGTAAGAACCTTTTCCACTGGCATGTCAGAGATAAGTCCGCCGATAATACAACATAATTCTAAAACCATGGCTTTACAAAAATAGCATTTTCATCATTAAGTATTTCAGGAGCCCTTTCTTTTGGTTTTGTGGTAAAGTCAGCCACACTTGGACTTGGGAAGAGGCCTGGGTGATCAATACAACTTTTTCGTATCAGTAACGCTGACTCTGGCCAAAAGGTAAATCCTGCTAAGTTTGTACTGTTGAGTGATTCATTCATACCTCCACAGAATGAACATCTAGAGGACACAGTAAGCTGGACACTTGTCCTGCTTATTCACTGGAGCAAAATAACAAGATTATCCATGATTGAGCATTCTTTTTCCTGTTGACAATATATATAATATGCAAAGCAAAAAAACCACACCATGTGGTTCTCAAGTTCCAAATTAAATTTGCAATGGCTGACTATATTTTTATGGAGCTTGGTAAGAAAAGGAGAGAAAACTAATCTCTTAAAATGAGTTAAACTCCCATCCCACCTTTTTATTCTTTTGTGGTCCGTATAATAATTCATGTTTTAAAATACAGTGTATTTCTGTGAACATTCAAATAAAGCAGAAATATATAGAACATAACCTGAAATTGTAGCAATTTACATTTGTTTCCTTTATCAATTTTTTTTATCTTCCTCTAGTCAAATTCTGATCATCAAGTCATCAAAGCTAGGTCAAATGGGTACTTTTTGAGCATTCTTGTGCATCTCCCCTCATTTCACATCAGCTGGACACTTCACCCTCAGCTCTAACCCCGCCCCCCCCATGGCTATGTCTTTGTCCATGAGCTCAGGAGTCCCCAGGTCTCACCATACCTCTGACCACTTCCTCATCTCTTTCTCATCTCCAGGCCAATGGGAGTCTATAGAATGAGGTTGAACTGAACCCATATGTTCATTGCTGTCTTTCCCCTACTTCCACTCACCAGTAGACCAACGTGGTCACCAGTAAATTTACATGCTTGCTCGTGTATTCCCTTTGAGTTTCAATCTTAGAGTGGGGTTTGTCCTGAAGGGACTTGATTGCTTGCCTTGATGGCTCCCCCAGCGAACAACTTGCTTGTTCTTGTAATAGCCTATCAGGCTGCCATTTTTGTTTTTGATTTTTTCTGCTGGTCTTTCTTTCGAGAAGTATCTTCTGTTCCTCTAGCTGCTCCAGGCTGGTTTGTTTGTCCTTTCAAATGAAATACCCCATGTCAGAAGGTTCTGGATGGGGCTCAGGATTCTACTTAAGGTTTTATACACTACAAAGGCTCCACAAGAAGCCTATTTCACTAGGCAAGTTCTAGAACCCCTTTTAGGTATTACATTCAGTTATAGGTTGAAGATGGACTTTACAAGCTTTCTGTAATCATGTTTCCCAGTTCTCCTTTCTATCCCACTCGAGTGTCTACTTTACAATAGCAGGCAATGGAAACCAATCAATATTCATAAGACGATCAAGTATCTTAACGTTGTTGTTAAGTGCTGTCGAGTCGATGCTGACCCATAACGACCCTGTATAGCGTTTCCAAGGAGCAGCTGGTAAGCTTGAACCACGAACCTTGCAGTTCAAACAGCTTTGCAGTCTGGCGCATTAACCCACAGTGCCACATCTTAACATTATTTGCCCTCTTTTACCCATTCAGACTATGCCTCTATCCCTGTAACACAGAGCCTTGATGTTTCAAGGTTGAGCATACATCACAATTTACTTCTGTCCCATTTAGCCCATGCAAACCTGCCTCAGTGTTCCCTAGATACCTTGTTCTTCCACCCCCTCCCTCTGCTCATGAGATTTTATGATACCAGTCACTACTTACCAAAGTAAGATGTAGAGCCTTGTCTTTATTTACCATGTTATGCCTATTGATCATGTTGTCCCCCAAGGCTATGGTCCTAAGCCCCAGACCCAGCAAATTCTTCATTAATGTCTAAAAGGTTTTCATAATTTGTCCCCTGTATGCATGTCCATATTTATGGATATGTTTGCCCCAAAGGTAAATACTCATGTACAGATCTCCTTTGTCAAAGCTTTATGTATTTGTAGTCATACTCCCACTCTCCCTCCCACACTTTTACAACCTGTGAATCTATCCATCCTGTGGAAATAATTGAATGGTGTGGATTCCTAAAAGTAGAGTTGTTGTATCAAAGTATAGACATGTTTTACATAGCTGCAGATGCTGTCAAACTGTCCTTTAAAAAGACTGTACCAGTTTACATCAGCTAAAGAGACTGCCTATTTCCCTTCATCTCTGCCATTATTAAATATTACAAATGTTTTTAATTTTTGCCAAGTTGATGGACAAGCAAAGGGGGATCTTGTTTACATTTATAGTTTCTTAATTACTACTGAGTGCTGGTGTGGCGCTGTGGGATAATGCGTCAGACTGCAAAGCCATTTGAACTGCAAGGTCGCCAGTTCAAGCCTACCAGCTGCTCCTCAGAAACCCTATACTGTCTGTGTTGCTATGGGTCGGAGCTGACTCAGCAGCACTTAACAACAACAACAATTACTACTTAAGGTGATCATTTTTGTGTGTATATTTTTCTGAAATTACCTGTTAAAATCTTTCACCAATTGGATTTGATCTTATCTTAACTGATTTATGATGGTGGTGGTGGTTATGTGCCATGGAGTCGCTTCTGACTGATAGCAACCCTGTACAGGGTTTCTGAGCCTGGAAATCTTTACGGGAGCTTTAGAAAGCCTCATGTCTCTCTCTCTCTCGCAGAACAGTTGGTAGTTTCGAACCGCTGACCTTGTGGTTCGCAGCCAATTCGTAACCACTATGCTACCAGAGCTCCTTTATAGGAACTCTTTATTTATTATTCATATTCTTCCATGTTGTAATGTTAAAATGTGTGTTATTGTTTGTAAATATTTTCTTCCAATGTGTTGCATGCCATTTAGTTATGTTAATGGTATCTTTTGTCACACACAAATTTTTACATTTTTATGAAATAAAATCTACCAAGTTATTCCTGTGTGACTTCTGAGTTTTATGTCTGGCTTGGAAAAGATTTTAAACCCAATTTTTAGGTGACACAAATGATTGAGATTACAACAGGTTATAAGGAAATGGCAGTTT